AAAGTGTACTTAAGTACAATACTCAAGTAAATGTACTTAGTTACTGTCCGCCTCTGGTGGTTAAGTTGTATTTACAACACTGTTCCAGAACAGTTCAACCCAAATATTCAGATGTGTGCAACGCATTTTACGGAGGACGAGGACTGTTTCTTAAGAGAGTAGCCTACAATGCCGATGTTCCGGTGAATTCAGTTCCCCTGCTTCCCCTTCGGCGCACATGCTGACCCTATACAGTCTATGATGCTGACAAATAATGCTGACTCACAGCCTGTAAGTACGTTTTCATATTTAAAGGATTTGCCACTGATGATTCAAATGCGAGTTTTGAGCAGTGTAGAGTAGCGCTTGTTGTTTGTCGTTTCTCCGATCACAGATGCAGACATGGTTTTAGGTTTCCGCGGCTCGATGCAACGCAACGCGTAAAAAGACAGTATAAGTCATTATAATCAGTAATTATGTCCCCACTGGATGCAACAAATGCCTCGTTTATAATGAGTTTTATTGTTTTTGTCTCGTCGCGCTGATAGAGAAGAAACAATAATGTACAGTATGTGAAAAATAATGTGTTTTTTTAACCTTAAACCGCATAAACACATTTCATTACACCAAATACACAAAATAATGTTATTTTTTAGCAACATCATATGACCCCTTTAAAAAAAGCAAAAATAAATAAATAAATAGACATTGCAAACAAAAAATAAATAATGAAAAGAATGAAAAATTATTATTTAAATTTCAAATAATTACATATATCTGCTACCTTTTAAAGCTCAATAATAAGCAGACTTTATATCCACCAGTCAATTCCTTAGTGAAATCCAACAGGCTATGGGTGACAACAGCACTGCAGTGTTATTTTAGTATTATTTATGTACATTTATAGTGTTTTAATATTTTGGATTAGTTTGATATATTTTCAGTTTTCTTTTTAATTTTAATTTTAAGTTCCGGTAATTCTGTTATGTGCTTTATTTTATCAATTTTTGTTTTTTTTTTGTTTTTTTTATTATAGTACTTATTTATTTCAAATACTAAAAATGATCTAATATTTATATTTTATTTTGTTTCAGCTTTATTTCAATAACTGAAATAATTAAAAATATCTCTTTTTTTTTATTCCCTTTTTTTTTTTTTGCCAGTTAATAGTAATAGCACCATAGGACTGATGACCATATTCTACTGCTGTGTAAATGTTGCCTACACACAGCCTTACACAATTTTACTTCTTGCACAGGTTACACTGGGTGTCCATTCTCTGCTGCCTCCCCCCGGTGGGATGGTTCTGCATGACAGGGAGGGTGTGGCACCATAGCCCCCTCTCCTTGAGATCTCTCCCACCATAAACCCAGTGGACCACAGCCATAGTGTTCCCCTCAATGAGCATCCCTCTGGAGCCCTAGATCAAGTAAGTCATTATCATGCAGAAGCGCAAAGCTGTATTAAAATTACCTGAATTGGCAACAGCTGAAACTGTAGATCCAGCCGTAACAAGCCTTTTATAGTAGGAAATGTTTACATAATCATCTAGTGTTTTGGAGTTACTAACTACAAGTTGTGATGGTACTAACTGGACTGCATTCTTGGTGGCGTGACAGTAGCTCAGCTGTTTTCAAAATAGTGTAGCGCTTCCAGTTACAAGCTATTTTCTCCAAGTAGTGGTGGCATGACTAAACGTTACATCACCGTTGTTTATATCACATTATATTACACATGTAGCTTCATGTGTGCAGAGGTAAAAATCAGATACTCGTAACATATTATTGGGTATTAATTTTATCGATTCAGACAGTTTTGTTTATACATTGTTTTATATATATATTTTTAAAAAATGTTAAATACTCCACCATTCAAAAGTTTTAGGTCTTTCAGATTTTTTTGGGGAAACAAATGAATACTTTTATTTAGCAATAATGCATTAAATTCATCAAATGTGACAATAAAGACATGTATAATGTTACAAAAGATTTATTTGTTGTTCTAAATGCTGTTCTATTAAACTTTCTATTAATCAAAAATCCTGAAAAAATGTATCAGGGTTTCCACAAAAATATGAAGCAGCATAACGGTTTGAAAAATTTATAATAAGAATAAATGTTTCTTGAGCATAAAATCAGCATTATTAGAGTGATTTCTGAAAGATCATGTGACCCTTAAGACTAAAGTAATGGCTGCTGATAATTTAGCTTTGCCATAACATGAATAAATTATATTTTAAAGGGGTCATATGATGCTGCTAAAAATAACATTATTTTGTGTATTTGGTGTAATGAAATGTGTTTATGTGGTTTAAGATTAAAAAAACACATTATTTTCCACATACTGTACATTATTGTTTCTCCTTTATACCCCGCCTTTCTGAAACGCGTCGATTTTTACAAAGCTCATCTATATATTCAAATAGAAATAATTGTAATTAGAAGTCGACCGATGTATCGGTTTTGCCGATTAATCGGCACCGATAGTTTTTTGCTGGAACTATCGGTTATCAGCAAAAATCAGTTTTCTGGGTTGCGTCCGTTGCTGGAACGGCTGAGAAGGGTCTGCTGTCATTATACAGTACGAGAGCAGCCTCTAGTGGTTGAAATCACTTACTACTACTAGTATGGTTCAGTACTGTTTTTTTTAATAAAGCATTATTTTAGTTTTTGTTCAGTATCCATTTTAAAAACTATCGGTTAATTAATCGGTATCGGCCAGTGTGGTCCAACCTAGCTATCGGTATCGGCAAAATCCACTATCGGTCGACCTATAATTGTAATAATATTTCACAATAATACTTTTTTACTGTATTTTTTTATTAAATAAATGCAGCCTTGGTGAGCACAAGAAACTTCTTTTTAAAAAAATTGTGAAATCTTACTGACCTCAAACATTTGTAAAGTTATTAATGCGTTTTGTATTTGTTTATATGAATTAGGGTGCGTTTATATTTTTATTAGCGTACATTTTAACACGACTCAGAAGGGGGAAAAAAAGGGATAGATAACACCAAAAAAAAAGAAAATTCTGTCATTAATTACTCACCCTCATGTCATTCCAAACCCGTAAGACCTTCATTCATCTTCGGAACACAAATTAAGATATTTGTGATTAAATCCGAGAGCTTTCTGACCATAGCTTCATAAAATTATGGTTGAACCACATATAATTAATTAATTGCCGTATAATTATATATATTACCATGTGTTTTTAGTTTTTTTTGTAACTTGTGTAGCTTTTTAAAAATATTCAGTAGTTTGTATCTTGGCACACAATAGTTTCACTTCTGCTTTTATTATTCTTATTTGGATAAACTAATTTATTAAATGAATAAATGTAAAAGTGGAAGTAGCTTCCAAAACTGTATATATCATAGTCCTCTTATTGTTGAAGTCACAAATGTCAACTAATGTCAACACTGCAAAGTTAACCGATAAATTGTGTCCATAAGACAGTTGTTTCTGTTCAAATAAGTAAGGTATTCAGCACAGCACACTACTTGAGGTGTTTTCAGATATGAATGATTGGTGCTAGGGACAGTCGGTGCAGGTGTAACACTTTTCCTGACCCCACTGCATGGTGTTTTCTGCGTTTGCTTATACTAGATGAGTAGTGGTAGTTCAACAGACCCTACTGTTGTCATGGTAATGTGAAACCCGATTGTGCCTGCACTGCATCTATTTGCACTGTTTTATTTTGCAGTTAAATTTTCACACTCAAACTTGGGTAGTTTAATTATTAGCATGGTTTTAATGTATGCATGTTTGTTAAAGAACCCACTTTTGCTGATTGCTGTATTCTTGTCTTTGATGCTTTAGAAGGACTCTCCACCTCTTGTTCTTGTGTTGCTTGGTTTCCCGTTCTAGTTCTGCCCACACTGAATTCTAATTGGTCTAAATTACAGATCCTCACCTAATAGCGTTTTATGTATTTCATGATAGTGCAAACCTTCTTTAATTTTGTAATAGATATTTTAATCTAGGATTGTGCAGTGTTTAATTTTGTGTTTTTAATTTTGAAAATATTAATTATGAAAGTGTAATTCAATCTGTTTTCACAAACAGGCTTATATTAGTTTGTAAAAGTCCCAGTTAATAAGATTATTGCAAGTAAATCCAACCAGCTACATTAAATAAAAGATTTACCATACCACAGATTAGAGGAGTGAGACAGAGTGCTTTATTCTTCCTCCACACTTTCATTTCTGTGAATTAAAGTAACTAAAATTGTAATAAACTAGCAAAGCAAAAGCATAGAAAAATCCATCAGCATTTGCCTGCGTCTCTGTGTGCATGTTTTTAAATGTAGAGCGCACAACATACACACAAAGATGTAGGTTAAAGCTGTCAGATGGTATGTTTTCATCCTGGTTACTGGTATCATACAAGCTGTAATCAAATGCAAAAACCCACGACTAAAATGTAATTTGCTCCATTTCCTAATGTATGGAAAAATGCTCATGCTGATCACTTAGTTGCTTGGAAGCCAGCTGAATTGACAGACCTCCCTCTTAATATGTGGGTAATCACTGACTTGCAAGAATTAGTCAAAAACCCTAATGGCTTCTCAATTCAGTTTGGAATAAGGCAGTTTCTTTAGCTTGTACGATGATTGCATGAGCATGCCTGTATTTTCTTTAAAGGTGTTTGCGCTGATTGTACAGTGCTCTGACACCTGGTTTCTTAGCCGTAGTTGTCAGAATTCTCTTTTCTGCTTCCGCATACTTAAGTTATACTCTCCCAACAATTTTCCACATAATTATCGGGTTTTGTTTGACATGTGTTTTGTGTTATGGGACCCGTGATCTTTTTCTCATGTCAACAGTACAGTGTTATACAGTAAGGTTTGGATAATTTAATGCTGATAAGTATCAGACCAAAAAAAACTTCTTTTTTTTTGCTATTGCTATTTTTTTCATGATTAATATTCTGTGTTTCATTTGTATTCAGTTTTACGTTTGTTCCTTTGCAAGACTGCAACCTGGGGTCAGAAGAGGTGAAAAAAAAATACTATGGAGACTATTGGAAAATCAAGTGCATACTCAAGGGTGCAATTACACTGAATAGCAAAGAGAAGCTAGGGTGTAGCACAGTGGTTTTCAAACAGATTCTGAGTTTACGTTGTTTTTAAACCTGTAAAACAGAAGCATGTGGCTTTGTGTGTGTTATCAATTTGTGTGCACAAGCAGAATATGTGCATGAATGAAGACACCAAACAGAGGTAGATTTCAATAGCAGCGTTTTTTTTTTATCACTGTCCAAGTAAACACAGTTTTAAAATAACATTGATTCTCTTTATTTCTCCAACTGCATAAGAATCCACTGACCTCATTTGAAGCCAGACTTGTTTGCATGCTGTCAAAGCTGACACTATAATTTAGAGTTGTTCAGATCCCATCTCTCTATAGTTATGTCACTTAGAGCATATTGCTGCAACTATAGCTTCTTTGTGCAGTGTTGAAATTAGCCCTGCTGCATTGGACTATTTCTTTCTTAACCCTGTAATGCCAGACATATGAAATAATAGTCCTTTTTTTTTTTTCATCAGAATTTAGTTTTTTTTTTTTAATGGGACAGTTTTATTAAACATTTAGACAAAATATAAAAAGAAAGTGTTTTTTTTGTTGAGTATCATATTTGATACATCAGGCTTTTATGGCCAAGTAGGTACGATATAGGATGCATTCAGATGCCCAAACTGAGCAAAAATATACAATTTGGTTTTGCTGGTAATTATTTGGCTAAAAAGTAAGATAAAATCCTTATAGCTTCTAATGTACAGTGGGTACGGAAAGTATTCAGACCCCCTTAAATTTTTCACTCTTTGTTATATTGCAGCCATTTGCTAAAATCATTTAAGTTAATTTTTTTCCCTCATTAATGTACACACAGCACCCCATATTGACAGAAAAACACAGAATTGTTGACATTTTTGTGAATACTTTCCGTACCCACTGTAAGTCAATGAGATTTTTAGGAGCTTACTTACATAAAATGCGTATAAATATAATTTGTCACTCTGTATCGCCCAATAATAGGTCTTAGGATGATATTTAAGCCTTAGAAGCCAGATGTGTCCCTAAGCATTCATCTTGAAATATTACTAACAATACGAGTTATTCCTGCCTTTACTTTATAAAAAAACAGTAAAGATTTCACAGCAAAAAGACCTGAAGGTGGATGTTTTAGAATTATACCGAATAAAAAAAAAATTTAAATTAAAAAATCACTTGCTAAAACAGTTTGAACTGTCAATCAGAGGCCAGAAGACATGTAGAAGATTGTGTCCGATTGTGTATCAAAAGTTTGATCCTGTAAGTAATTTAGAGGCCTTAGAAATTTGCATATTAATTATAAAAGAGTAAGATTTCTAGGATTAAAGTAAACATCCTGAATCAAGGTATAAACAATTAATGTGTCAAACAAT